AGATAGATAGATAGATAGATAGATTGATTGCCAGAAGTAGCGTGATACAACAACGTCATGAAATGGGCAGCACCAAAAAATTTAACAGTTTTCCTTCCACTCAATTTTCCATTAATTTTTATCGACAGAGCACTTCTTTCATAACCATCGTTGTTCGAGGTATCTGTGACTGTCTGCTGGATAACTTCAAAAGTCACCAGTTTGTCCTACGATTGTACTTGATTATCATTAATAATCTGGTAAATACTGGTGTTGTTTTTTACAGTATGAAAGCTTTGATATTATAATTAAACTATTTATGTCTTCCTAAGCAGACTTAATAAAATTCCATCTCTTCTTATTATAGCTTTTATCCATGCAATCTATGTATGAATCCAAAGAAAGTGAAACATCAGAGCCTCGTTCAACATTTCTGCTTGGAAAGGAAATACATCTTTAAAAAACATGAATTAACTTTCAAACAATTTTCCTACAGGAGGCCAAGACCAGTAGGTAAGTAGGAGATATATTCCAGTTATTGTGCAGAAGAAAAAACGTTTTGGACATTTTACAATAAAGCAAGCAATATGTAGCAGACCACAATCATTCAAACTAACTATGCACAACCAAAATGGGTAATGAATGCTGCACAATATTGCTTTTTCCTGCATATTTACTATTTCCAAAAAATAAAACATATTTTTAATAATATAATATAAATAAAATCTTACAGACAATTGCACACCTTATTTTGCCTGAGATAGATCATATTGGTTGAGTAGATGAGAATGTAATGTTGCTCTAAATTACAGTCTTTCAAAGCTTGTATGGTTACCCAGCAATCTATCACTGTCACACAAGGAGTGAGGGGGGGAGACAGAGCAGACAGGCGCCAGGCACAGCAGGATCAAAGCATGAACATACCTCAGGGAGGGAAACGGTTAACTCCATTTAACCAATTGTCCTATAAGACTGAGACAGACAGAAAGTCAGTGTGTTACTTCAGGCCCATATAGGAGGATATTCACTTTCAACAGGAGTTATTGGACTTGATGGAGACGCTGAGGAACAAAACTAATTTGGATGAGTCTCTTCAATAAGGCCTTTTACAATCTCTCAGCTGCAAACAATGAACACAACAGGCTAAAATATATGAGCATAGACAATTAAATTAGAGGCCACCACATGAAAATTTACAGTGACAATCCCTCTTAGAAATGCATGGAGTGCTAAATCACAGCTTGAATAGCTGTGAAGCTTTAATGAACAAGGGACATAAACTACTGTATTCTATAAAAGCTTTTAACAAGCAGTATCAGTGGTTTAACTTTTTAGCATAGATATAAACTGTTTTAAACAAGTAGTAGTTTCAAAATCATCAGTATTTATTTTATTTAAAATAATCTGTGAATAAAGAACTTGGTTAAAAATATTTTATAGTATCAAAATCAGCCAACCTTTTGCAACCATTGTGTAGGAAATTAAATAGAATGTGCAATGTCTGCTGTAAACTGAAAATGGTCACAAAAGAGAGATTTTTAGTGATTCGTGCTTTATATATGTATTTTTGGAAATATTTATGTTCCTCTATGCAAGGCAGAGATTTAAAATTTAAAAACAAAACAAAAAGAAAACTAACAGAAAGCAAAGCAAGGTCACAGTGTAGCCTGCTTCATACTTCTTCGAGACACACCTTCTGGCTTAACTTTTTTTTAGATCTGTAAATTAAAAAACAGTTCAGTTAAAAGTGATTTTAATTCATTTTCAGAGTTTAGTCATTGTAGAATAATCTTAATATATATCTTTAGATCACCAGATGAGTAAAACATGTTACCGTGAGCGAAATCAATATAAAGTTTGCTTTAATTAGTTATTTCCATGGGCTTTGAAGTGACTTCATACAAGTTGACATTCTAAAAAGTAATCTCTGTGATAGAGCCATTTTGTATTTTATTACTAAAAATCATGCTTACACTCAGACGTCGAATCAGCTGAATTTATTTTAAAAATTGGTAGTTTTCCCATTTCTATACAGTTAAGAGTAAACTTAATTCCCTTTCAAATAAAATTGACATAAAATAGTCTAATTATAGGGGTTTAAGTTTGGACTCCTTTCATCATAAAATAAAAAGATCTGTACAATCATGTTATACTGTAAATGCTTTTGTGCGTTAATAACTTCAGGAAGTAACCTTGTTTCCACACTTTTTTGAATAAGTTGATCATTGAATACTTACATTTTAGACCACAAAACAACTGCTTTCCTAATAGTTCAGGTTCAGTCACAGCGCTGAGTTATTAGGTGTCTCATAAATCATGGAAAGTTTGCACAATCTTTGAGAATTAGTGACCTGCCACTGGTTACAGGTTTTGCATCTGTCAGAAGCTATAAACAGTAAATCAACCTCAGCTCTAATGTGTGTTCTGGCCTATGAGAGCTTGATCAGCAAAGTCACGTGCAAGATGTTTAAAGTCTGATACGCTCGCGGCAAGATGAGAAAAGAAACTTCTGCTCTTCACTGCAGAAGACAGAAAACGTTTAGTTTATCAGCGGGTGCGCAGCATCAGAGAAACTTTAGGGATGACAGTAACCAGCAAGTGAACACAAGCCAACCTTAACGGCAGCAGGAAGAGAGGAGAAGAAAGGGCTTGCATGGCACCGCGGTCGTGCGTAATGAATCCTGCGCAAGGATCCCCGGCCTTGGATACATTGCCTAAGGATAAACCCGCTGGTGGAGCTGGAGCCGGGAAGCTGGACATGGCACCTTGTAGAAGTTTTAAAAGCAAAAGTGTAGAGCTGCCTTTCAGTGTGGAATCCTTAATATCGGACAGGAGCTCTCCGGGCAGCAGCCTTCAGTCCTCCGAGCTTGGATCAGGCTGCGTTCGCACGGAGGGGAGCGAGTGTGCGTCACCAAGAGGGGTCTGTGGATCCAAACTGGAGGCTGTGGGCCCCAGCGAGACAGAGGGCACCTGGCCTCATGGTACCTATTCTCCTCATTTAAGTGAGTTGGAAATATTCTATTATTATTGCTATTTCAAACTTAAATGTTGGCTATAGATGCTTAGATTCAACAGGCGGGTGGAATATAAGAGTTTAAAACTTATTTGTATACATTGTATATCATGAGTTGTTATCCTTTTAATTATTATATATACAATTTCGAAATAAGCCGTATAGCTATCAGAAGTGTTTTTACTTGTTTTTATGTTTTTATTTGGAAGCTTCTGGTTAATGTTCTATAGCATATAAGTATAGTTTGGATTATTCTCTATTTGACTCAAGCTCACATTTTAAGTCCATTAGGACCCAATCCATGCCTCTCCAACCTATACAGTGTTGCTTCCCAACTGTTGGCTGGTCATTAGCTGCTAAATTAGGATTTAAAATCAACTGAAAAAATGTGAATGTAGATTTTTTTTTTTTTGTTCAAATTATAAAAAAAGAAATGAAAGTTAATTCACATGGGTGTTAAGTTTTGAGAGAAATACAAAATGTTATCGTTTGTACATAAAAAACAGGCCCATATAGGAGCAGAGGAAAAAAGAGTTAGTGGACTTGATGCGAGACGCTCTGAAACAAAACTGATTTGGATGAGTCTCTTCAATAAGGCCTTTTACAATCTATCAGCTGCAAACAATGAACACAACAGGGTCAAATACATGAGAATAGATAATTAAATTAAATTAGATTGGATATTTCATCTTCTCAATTGAAACAAAAAAATCGAGTTTTATCTTATTAATCTGCTTTCAGGAATCCCCAGCCCAAATACATGCAACCTGAGGAAACACAAGAACAACAGGAAACCCAGGACCCCATTCACAACCTCCCAGCTGCTCTCTCTGGAGAGGAAGTTCCGTCAGAAACAGTACCTGTCCATCGCTGAGAGGGCAGAGTTCTCCAGCTCCCTGAACCTTACAGAGACCCAGGTCAAGATCTGGTTTCAGAACCGCAGAGCCAAAGCCAAAAGACTGCAGGAGGCAGAGCTGGAGAAGTTAAAGCTGACCGCAAAGCCGCTGCTGCCGGCCTTCGCCTTCCCCTTCCCGCTGAGCGCACCTCTGGGTGCTGCGCCTCTGTATGGAGGCCGCTCTGTCTTCCCTGTGCCCGGACTACTCAGCAGGCCTTACGGGATGTACTACCTGTCCTAAATAACTCCTCTCAGGACCATTCACTGGGAGCTCCTTTGAAATTGTTTTTAAGGAAAAAAAATTGTTAAAAAAGTATCCATCCAAAAAAAAAAAAAAATTCATCATAAATATAACGATTTTTTTGGGCCTTTTATTGATGTTACACAATTTTTTTTTTTTTTTTATTTTACAAAAACGAACTTCTTTATTTCTGTAGAATTAAATAAAATAAAGTTTCGTGGGTAAAATCACGGATCTCCTTTAAATAAATGTAATAAACTAAACAGATGATCAGATGATGCTGACTGTAAGGGTTAGTTTTACTAATCACTTTATTCTGATAGATGAATTTTTTTAAAGGACAACCTCCTCTGAGATTAGGATTCAGAATCATAAGGATGTTTGCTGTTACAGAGCTTTAGCAAAAACTTGTTTGTAACACAGCTTTATAAGCCATTTCTGAGGATTATATATTTTTTATATATATTGCTAAAAGAATATAGAAAAACTTCCCTAAAACAGCATCTCTATGAGTAGATTTAAAATACCTGCCCTTAGTGAACTGCTAAACCAAAACCAATATATATTATTTAAAAAATATATCTTTTCCTAGTTTAATAAAAAAAAAAAAAATGAAAAAATTAATTATCGAGTTGAGTTAGAATTATTTATAGTTAAAATGAACTGGAAACAAATAACAAAATAGGCTATTGATTTTGTTTACAACATCCTAATCTTTGAGTTAGTAATACCTTCTCTCTACCGTTACTCTAATTTTTAGCTATTTACAGAGGTCCTCTCTCAGATTAAAACAGGATGCTGACTGGGACATTAAAAAACAATATAATTCTAGTCAGACGAGACATTTCTTTTAGGGGCATGAATAACTGGTCTTATCTGAATATGAAGATTAATCCAAGGTTTGGATTTCCATGGCATGGTTACGCAAAAGAAACAGTTTTAAGGAAACAAAATATGCTCGCTGTGTGTATTTGAGTTAATGACATCACAAGATGAACAAGTATGAAGCTGAGCAAATAGTATTAATACAGTTTATCACAGATGATGGACTTTCTTTGCTACTCAACCAGACTTTGTTCCATCTGAATGCAAAGCAATCTGTTCACTTTCTTTTTTACCATCCAGTAAAGGGCAATGGAAAGACTAGATTTTTATATAATGATTCAGAAAAAATGTTAGCAAGCCAAAAATCTAACCAGGTTATGCTTTTCTTATCTGACATCAAAATTAAGTTTGACTGATTTTACAAACAAGTCCATCTGTTAGCTTTAACTGCTTTTATTAGCACCACTTTTCCTGTGTTTTAAAGCAAAGAATTTGGTGTGACCTCATACAATAGGGAGTTACGAGATCTTCAGAGGTAAGATTGCAATCCATAAATCCGTTATTTTCTTATTAAGCAATACAAATAAAACCATACATTCTTCTAATGTTTTATTTTCATTTGTTATGAAAAGTTATTAAAACTATCCTTTTTAGTTGCCTCTACCAACCTCACTTTAATGATTATTAATGTACAGAGTATATTAAATCCAAAGACTTAAAACACATCCTGTATTCAACTTTATTATACAAAACATAAAGGAACCTGACATTTTCTCCCAAAATTCTAAATCAGGGTTCTGAACTTTGCTTTTCAAACTCCAGCAATATGAAGGGACTTTCCTTTCTCCTCAAAAAGTTAAAACAAAAACTTTTACTTGAACTTATCAATTAAAAGATAAAATGTATGAAAATGTGAATTTTCAACAGTATAAGATGGAAAACAAAGGGTTGAGTTGTTGTTCTTCATTTCCTTTTGCCCCTCTGGCCTCTGAAGCCTCGGACTGAGCCGTGACCGAAGCACACCGTTTTAGGCACTCTGTGAAAAACACAGAATAAACACTTTAAATTCTACAAGATGTTTAGATGAAAATCAGCTGTAAAATCTCCACACAACTGCCTTTAATCCAACTTAACTAGATGCAGGCCAAATATTTATCTTTAGAGGACTGAAGCTAATCTTCTAAACTCTACTTAATGCCATTTAGGAATTAAAAAAGGTTTGTTTAGAGAAGACAAACCTGTAGGAGTATTTTGGTTTCAGTGGTTCTGTCTTTGTTTCTGAGGTCTGAGCTGAAGCTGAAAACTCGTCCTCACTGCTCGCTTGCATCTCCATGGACTCCTCCTGCCTGAGCCGGTTGGACTGAACGTCACAGATAACCTCGCAAACACCCTCCGACTTACAAACATCGTCTGCTGCCTCCATGGCGGTGTCATTCCTCTGCTCTTTTCTTGGTTCTTTGGTTCTGAAAACAGAAAAAAATTATAATTTTAATAATAAGCCCACTTACTTTATTGAAGTTAAGAGGAAAATCTTAGATCTTAATTTAAATCTAGAGTAGTGTCATTGTCTTTTAATTTACATTTGGGATCAATAAAGTATTTTGAAACAAGTTGAATTGAAACAAAAAGAGTGTAACAGAGTAAAAGTTTTATCATGCACAGCAAGAGGAGAACTTAATGACATGTTAAATGGCTGCTAAACAAGGAAGAAGCCATCACTCAAAAAAAAAAAAAAGATTAATTAGAGTTTGAAAATTGAACTAAGATAAAAAAAAAAAAAAACAACAACCTTATTTTTGGTAGCAGCATCTTTTGATGAAACTAATATTTAAGTGTCTAACTGTAATGCCATTATCATATTGGGAGGAAAAAAGGAGAACTTCTGCCTTTAACAAATCCAACCCCAACTGTGAAGCATAGGATTCTGTGAAGCATAGCATAGGCAGCATCATGCTATGGGGGTCTTCTTAGACAACTTTTATTGTCAATTTGGGTATATAGAGCATATACACAGAGTGTATACAAAACAAATTCGTTTAGTACAGCTTTTCAGACAGTAAATTAACATTTCCATTTAATTAAGTGCAGCAGTGATCAAATATAAACAGTGTGTGAAAACAGCATGGTGCAAAAAATGCAATGATATGAAAGTTCAGAGCATTAATATATATGGTGCACATAATTCTGTAAGAGGGACCGCTGCATTACTTAAAATAGCTAGCATCATGAGGAAAAAAAATGGCTGGAGTGGCCATTAATTGTACTCAAGTAAGAATACCTTTACTTTAGGTAGAAGTAAAAAAAATAATAATAATCAGAGATGGACAAGAAGCTGAGTGCATGGAGCTGGTGAACTGCTTTGTGACATGATTTGGAAACAATCATCTGAACTGTGAATTTGTCTATAAGAAAGGACAGAGCAGACTGTACTTCCTAAAGAAGCTTAGGTCCTTCACTGTTACGGTACTATCTTCTATAAGTCTGTGGTGGAGAGTGTGAGCCCTTCTGCCATCATCTAAGGGGAAACAGCATGGGATCAAATAACTTTAAAAAGTTCAACAAGCAGATAAAGAAGGCCGGCTCTGTTTTAGGAACTCCTCTAGAACTTCTGGAGGTGATGAAGGATTCCTCATAAAGTAAAGAACATTACAAACAAAAGTGAGCATCCTCTTCATCAGAGTGCTGAACAAAAGAAGAGTGTCTTAAGTCAGAGGCTTCTCCAGATCCGGTGCCAGATAGGCCAATACAGAAGCTCCTTCCTCCCTACAGCTATTAACATCTGCAACAAGACCTGATTTTACTCCAGGAAATGTATAGGCAGAGGTTAAAAGGTGCTTGTATGCAAGGCTTGTGGGATTCTTTACTTGGTTAGACCTGTTCTGTTAAGATGAACAGGGGCAAAATCCTCCAAACTTTTTTAAGAAGCTTGTGGAAAAAAATAAAGAAAATATAGTATAAAATGTAATTTCATTTCTGAAATTTTAGGAAAATTCTACAAAATTCAAATTTATCTTGCAGAAGACTACTATGAGTACCAAAAGTATAGTGCCATCTAGTGGATAGATTCAAGCATGTACAGCCTTACCCTTTTTCCTTTCTGTTTTTGTCGAATCTGAAGTCTGGGGGATATTTGTGAACTCTTATCAGGTGGTCCTTCCTTTGCTGACTTGTCTTAAACTTCTGTCCACATCCCTCTACTAGGCACAGATACTGAAAGGCACCAATATTCAAAGGAAAAGTTCAATTAAATCAGGTACACAATCAATCACTTCTAAATGAGTTAAGAGTGTGAGTGCAAGGCTTACCATGTCTTGTTTTTGGGCGAGGATGGTGAAAAGGGAGTCGTGCCACTCCTGAATGTGAATGTCCAGGAGCCGGGCACTCGGCAGGGAGCGGCGACAGGAGCAGCACACATGTCTGTGCAGGGAGTTGTAGTGGTGCTCATACTCGTCCAGTGTGCTGAAGACGACTCTACAGCCAGAGATGTGACAGGCAAACTCTGACACACTGTGGAGGAGAGAAGAAAGAAGAGAAGAAACAAGCTAGTCAACATCAAGACTTGCTGGGTTTTTTTATTTGTTTATTAAATCTGTCAAACCCGAAAACACTTGGATGGACCATCATGTCCAGATTATCTTCTAATTTCTTCTTTTTTTATTAGATTTAAATCTATCATTTAAAGAACTTGCAGCAATTCTTAATTGTCATTCATTTTTACATTTAATTCTCAGATTAAAAAAAATTGTACAAAAAAAAGATTGTTTGTGTTGCGATCCAGAAAAAACTGTTTTAATAGAAATAAACTGTCCCAGACCAGCAGGTCATACTACAAAAAAAAAAAATAAATTAATTAAAAAATCATATCAGCCAGAAAAAAAAAATAACAAACCAGTACATTTCCACTTTCTAATCTCTGATTTTCCTCCAGTATAATGATAACTTAACTGAGGAAACAAATTTAACATACAGTATTAAAAAGAGTAACCACAGTTAACCCAGTTAGAGATTCAGAAAAGCAGTACAGTGTTAGGAGGATATATA